CACTTACCAAACGGCTGCTGTTTTGCTACATTATTTCATTGTGTGGTTTGTAATTGGAGGGGTCTCACTCATTAGTGCCGTTTTAAAGGCTCTCCTAGAAACGGTTTCAGCGTTCGTTTTGAGAATCACTCATATCCATTTCGCTCCCATCACTCTTTTCCGACTCTGCTTTGGTCCAAAGCCTCTGTTCAGAAAAAGCATTCTTGTGCTTGTGTGGATTTAGCAGATGGTGTCATTGTACACTCAGGGTTGCAGCACTAGAAATCACTTGGCAGCATTTTGCTGTTTATCCTTTGTATACAAAGCATAGAAACCAAACTGTAACTCATAAGAGTTACCAGAAAACTCTCGCATTCTTAGCTGTGGTTTAGCTTCCTAATTAGTGCCGAGAACCCCTGTGGTCTTACACTCAAGTGTATAAGTGTTGTTACAACAAAAAATTCAGTGCATAGCAGCACATGAAATGATTTTTGTGATGTTAATATGTGACCTGCTAAGTAAGCCATGTACACTGTGGTGTGTTTCTTCTGTAAGGACTTGAAGAATGTGAACTTCAAAGGATTACAAAGACATAATAGGAACAGATCATTAAGGGGGTGGAGACTAAGGATTTTAATGAGCATTAGTGATGATTTAATTTTAAAACGAGATCCATGGCTTACAAAAACACAAAATATTGCAAAACGTGATTGAAAGTGTGGATGTTCTATTGATGGATTTTCTTTCATGTAAACTCTTCCTACCAGCAGCCACAGGCTTATCCGTTCCTCTTTTAGGACAAGGCTCACGCCGCATTTGTATTCATTTAAAACTACAGGCCCCCGGGTAAACACTGATGTAGTGTTCCACCCCCGTATAAGATTCAGTTTAATGTGACTTGATATCTGCTCTGGACAGGCCTGCAAAACTCACATAAAACAAATACACGTAGCTCAGTGCATGAGAACCTCTGTCAAACAGTTGAAACTCATCCTCATTTGAAGAGAAACTAAAAAAGGGGGGCGGGCGCTTCCTCATTCCCCTTCCGAGCTGAGAATTAATGTTTAATCTTATGAAGTAAAAGCATCCCTAGAGAAAATAAGAAACGGGTCATATTGAGCTGCGGACATACTGGAAACAAAAGTTTTAGGGGAAAAAAGTAGTTCTGACATCCGAAAATGAGTAGAATAGAGTTCCAGTACACGGACACTGTATTTTATAATCAGAACTCACTGCCATTGAGTTATTTTTGACTCATCGTGACCCTATAGGACACAGTAGAACTGCTACATTTTGTTCCTGAGGCTGTAAATCTTCCTGGAGCAGAGGCCTTTCAGAGCAGCTGGTAGATTCGAACTGCTGACTGTGCAGTTAGCTGCCCAGCATTTCTAACACACTAGAACCCCAGGGGTCATTTATTTGATAATAGGTTCGTAAAAGGAGACTAAGATATCATTAAGTAGTGTGCCTACTAAAGCATCCATTTAATATTGGCATACATTTTCATTTTCTTTTCCTTTCCTATTTCCTTTTCTTTTGCAAGATCTAGTATCCAGTGGCTTGATCAGTAAACCCCAACACCTGGAGAGTCGAGAGCGGCAAAGGTCATCAGACATCCTGGAGGAGCTCATTGTTCAAGGAATCATACAAAGCCACAGTAAAGTACTCAGAAATGGAGAAGCGTATGACGTCACGGCAAGTAGCTTTGCAATACACTTCGCTGACAGTTAAAAGTGGTAATGCAATATGATGACTCCCAAGTCATTCTTTTCAGCATGTGCACTTTACAGTGACAATGGAGATTACAATAAAACAGTTTTTTCTTCCATAAATCTCACCACCCCACCCCTACCCTACCCCAATTGACAATCACAACTGATTTAGGAATTGCCTTGATCATGAATGCTTAATGAATCTAATCAAACATCTACCTTTGGTTTTACTAACTGAGGTCCAATAACCTCCTATCATTTAATAACATGTCTGCATTCTTTTAGCAGTTTGTATTGTGATTGGTTAGGAGTCTGGGCTT